TAACTAATATATATATATATATATATATATATATATATATATTGAAACTTAAACCAATAACGAGTTTCAGCAGACTTAAACTATATGATATTTAATGAATAGCTACACGTTAAGATCAGATTGAATGTGGTATTTGAATATATCATGCATTTTTATCTTCCTGTAATATTATAGCATTTAATCTTTGTTCTGTATATGTGCAGATTTCACACAGCATGTGGTCAAGACAACTGTACAGTTGATTTTGTTCTGAGCTACCTTTGTTCCTTTGTTGTTTTTGGAATGGATGACGTCCGTTACTGCCCAAGGTATACATCTAACCCATAGAAAACCTAGTGTGTGTCACATCACACTTGATTTCTTGAAATAGGAGGAGTCATAAAAGTCAAAATGCATTTATCCAGATAGAATAGTTCAATTACTGTCAGCCTATTACTATTTTAGTGACGAGGTGCAAGGGGGGCCATTGGGGGGTATGGGGTTACTGCCCAGAGTGGCTCTTGCTAAATATGACACAATGTGAAAATATGTCAACAGTAGCATCCTTCAATGGCTGTTCAGGTGACATCTAGAACATATGGTCACACTTATAATGTAATAAGAATGACCAGTCACGTGGGTAGCATTAGTTGCCCCTAGATACATGTGAGGTTTCTTGCATGCTAAGAAATGTAACATTTCATTAGTACAGTCTGGAATATCATTTGAGTTGGTATAGTCAGGACAAGATAAAGAGTTAACCACTGAAGGTATCCAGTCACGGCAACAATCCAATATCGTTAATATTCAAACAAGTACATACTGTGTTTGTGTTTAGCATTTTAATAAGGATTGTGCATTTTTTTTTACACTTTGTGTTGAATCTCATTATTTAATTTTACATTGTCTCAGTTAGTAACAGATTTAGTATTACTTGAAGAAAAAGCTCCTAGTGGACCTTTCTGACATAGCTCTAACGTTAATTCAGTTTTATCACCTGGATATACCACATCTGATGCTAATTCTCAGTCATGTTGGACTTGCAAGTTATGTAGACAGTTACAATAACTTTACAAACCTATCCTTGTTCTTCAGAAGCACGTTACATACTACAACTGCAAGTTATGTAAACAGTTACAATAACTTTACAAACCTATCCTTGTTCTTCAGAAGCACGTTACATACTACAACTGCAAGTTGACAGTTACAATAACTTTACAAACCTATCCTTGTTCTTCAGAAGCACGTTACATACTACAACTTCAAGTTGACAGTTACAATAACTTTACAAACCTATCCTTGTTCTTCAGAAGCACGTTACATACTACAACTGCAAGTTGACAGCAACAATAACTTTACAAACCTATCCTTGTTCTTCAGAAGCACGTTACATACTACAACTGCAAGTTATGTAGACAGTTACAATAACTTTACAAACCTATCCTTGTTCTTCAGAAGCACGTTACATACTACAACTGCAAGTTGACAGCTACAATAACTTTACAAACCTATCCTTCTTCTTCAGAAGCACGTTACATACTACAACTGCAAGTTGACAGTTACAATAACTTTACAAACCTATCCTTGTTCTTTAGAAGCACGTTACATACTACAACTGCAAGTTGACAGTTACAATAACTTTACAAACCTATCCTTGTTCTTCAGAAGCATGTTACATACTACAACTGCAAGTTGACAGTTACAATAACTTTACAAACCTATCCTTGTTCTTTAAACTCATGTTACATGCTGCACCTTGTGCTTCACATCACCAAGATACAGTATATGCAACAAGAGTGTTTACTGATTTCTTGTATGCTAGTCATAGTATCAGGATCATTGTAAAAAATGATGCAGAAATCAGGATAACATTGATTTATAATGTATGAATAATTAGTATAGAGCTCAATATAATGATTATAATGTAAAGTGTTTGCTTGTAAACAACTCAATAACTTCTAAAATCATATTAGATACACAATCTAAACCATCTGTGTATGTGTGCATGTCAACTTATAACTGGCAAACCACTGGACTGATCGTCACCAATGTACCCTTAAGGCCCCCCCCCCTAGGAAGTGACATAGGAAATCGGTGTTCAAATCTGATCCTCCATGTCACCTCCCACCTACCCCCTATGTATTCCCCACACATTGTTTGTTTATAGCTGGTGAAATGCTAGACCAATCCAATTGTCCAAACATGGCATATACCCTTAGGGCCCCTAGGAAGTGACAGAGGGGGTCAGTGTTTAGATGTGACCCTCTATGACATCTCCCACTGACCCCTATGTATTCCCTGTACATTATGTCTGCTTATAACTTGCAACCTGCTAGACCAATTGTCACCAAACATGGCATTTAACCTTAGGGCCCCTTGTAAGTGACATAGGGTACCAGCATTCACACATGACCCCCTGTGTCACCTTCCAGGGTCCCCTATGTCTTCTCTGTGTACATTTAAAACTTGTAAACCACTTATATTACCCATGTATATCTTTCCAGTCAGCTGGTGAAGAAAGAAACTAAACTAGTAAATTAACGGAAGAATACGTGATAAGTATGAGAGATGTAAAAATAAGTATACAAATTAAATGTGAAGAAAAAAATTTCAAAACTCCAAGTCTATATCATTCTTATTTAAAGGGTTACAGTTAAATAAAATTATGAACAACAAACACTGTACCTCTAAAATTCTAGTAGACACTTCAGCTCCAGGAAATGGTCTGTTCATTTCATCCACCTTTTCTGATGAGCAATATTTTTCACTTTCTAAATTCTGTCCAATAACAGCTTCCAACTTTTCTTTACCACCTCTTATCACCAAAGGTCTACATATACGGCTTTCAACGTTACTGGTTTCCCTAATTTTTGAGTGAGCGTTAGTTTTTTCTGACAAAATTGTATTTTCTAGGGCAAGTTCGGGGAATTCAGTGAAAAGCCATCGACGATTTTTAAAAAAACGGTTTTGATGAATTTCATAAAATTTATTCCAAAAATCCGAAGCTTCATTTTCATATTTTTCTGCAGTGATAAAAAATAACAAAATAAATACAATGTAAAGTAGATTATAGATTTTATAAAAGTTGCCTTGTGAGTGTAAATATTATTGATCAAGCTCCATGTGGTATTATAAAAAGATCAGAGTATACGTAACACAATGACAAATTTACAAAACAAAGATGAATTCCAGTAGGTAATTATAATGATAGTTTATGTACCAGTAATATTCAAATGTGTATCTCACCGCTTCTATTTTTAATCGACAAAAATATGTGTTTATTAATGAACTACTGATTTCTTAAGCATTAGTAGGAAGACTAGAATGTGGAATTATATACATTTAGGATAAAGATCGAGATTCAGCCAAGACTTGTAGAATATGCGAGATAGTTACGGTGAAGAAAAGCCTTTATGACGGTAAATAACTAAGGTTGAGGAAAACATTTCAAGGCAGAGTTATTATCCACTTAACACTCAAGTCACCATCTCTGACGTGTTGCATTAAGAATAAATATTAACATCTTGATTAAAATTCATGAAATATACCTTGCAATGAAGCAGAAACTTTTACTTTAGAATTGTTGGCAACTTTCTCTCGAGCTGCAGCTTCCTGTTCAGAACTCCACTTTATATCGTCCCTAAGACAGCCAATATAAAACTTGCTGCGTCTAATATAATAGTAACAGTAATTTTAACAATCTTATTGGTTTAATATATACAACAGTATATGGTAATAATTTAAAAAACATCTAATATTTAATATCTAATAGAATACTAGTGAAAACTTTTCATTATTCAGTAATGCTTACAACTGGGTGATTTTATTGATTACTTATGAGCAGCAATTACATCAATTAGTGTCCTGTAAATTAATTAATAAATCAAAATTATTGTTTTCAATTATTCCAATGACCACTTAATAAAAATTTTATTAACTGTTATGAAAACTATCAACTACAATTAGTTGAAATTTGTTGTTCCAATTATCATTTCTAGAATCAATATAAATTATGATTACATCCATTAACCAAAATTAGGGTTTCTGATTATTTTCAATCAATCCAACTATCAACTATCAATCCAGCTATCAACTATCAATCCAACTATCAACTATCAATCCAGCTATTATGACCATCTGTTGTTAAGCACAAAGCTACACAATGGACTATCTGTGCTCTGCCATATTTTTGTACTTCAAGTTATTTCAGCTTTGTTCATTAGGGGAAGAGGGTAAGTCATAATTCTAGGGTCTCGGGTTTCATTCCCGTCAAACTTTTGTACCCTATCTTTCTTATTGTAAAGCTACTAAATCTATATTATCATTGTCACTAAATTTGAACTTATGGCTAGAGAGAAAACAACTGGCTGGCAGCATCCACCACCAATGTTTAGATTAGATATGCGAGCCATATACTACTATTTTTTCTAAGTTCTTGAATAGTGCGTAGATGTCAGAAAATTGGAAACTGGCTAATGTTACTCTTCTACTCAAGGGAAATGATAAAAATTGTCTCAATAATTATAGACCTATTAGTCTTACATCAGTAGTAGGAAAAGTTTTTGAAAGTCTCATAAAAGATGCTTTGCAAAGTTATTAACAAAGTTTAAAATGTTGTTGAATAGTCAGCATTGTTTCACTGATGTTACTGCTATTGTAAATGATAGTATGGTATGGGTTTGGTGTATCTGGATTTTTAGGAAGCATATGACAAGATGTCATACAAACATTTTGTTAAAAAAGTTATCTATGTAGGTGTAAGGGATATTTGGCTCATTAGCCAAAAAACCAGCTGGCTAGAAGAAAGCAGTTTTTATAAACGAGTTCAACCAAACTGGATTAATGTCACAAGTGGGGTATCTCAGGGCATAGTGTTAGGACATAGATGAATTTAAAATATTTAAATTTGCTGATGATATTAAGGTCTTGGATGTTTCTGGTAGTGAGGAAGATGCTGCTTTACAAAAGGATTTGGATAATTTGGTGAGTTTGACAGATAAATGACAGATTGTTTTTATTTATAATAAATGTAAGGTAAAGAACGTGGGATTTTTACAAAAATACTGAATATGAGGCTAAAGAAGTTATAATGTTCTTTTATAGCTTATTGATTAGGCTACATTCGATAAAATGTGTTCAAATCTTGGGCTCTTTATCAAAAAAAAAAAAACACTGAATTGTCGAAAAGGGTTCATAGTAGGGCTACTAGGATGATACTGGGATACAAAGGTTATCATATGAAGATAAACATTCTAAAAATTATCTTATCTTGACAAAAATATAAGAGTTAGAGATCTGACTGAGGTATTAAAAACTAGTAGTGTTCATATATCATATTTGATGGTGAAAATGGTGAGACATTAAAGGAGTTTAAGGGATAACTTGTTAAATATCTGAATGATAAGTTATCTTTTGAGTTTTTATTTTAATGTAGTGGCTGGGATGGCCTAGATGGCCTAGGTGAACCAACAGGCCCTTTATTTTACTTAAATTTTATGTTTAAACTGATTATTCAAATCGAGTTAATCTACACATGTGGACATTATGGCATAAGCTTATACATATTAAACAAAAGAAGGAATGTTTATAGAAACAAAGAACACCCTTCTTTACTTTCACTCGGAAGTTCTTTCTAATACTTAAGTTGAAATAAAAAAGGAAAACGGGTTTCAAAATATTTGCCTTAAAAATGTGCACATTTATCAAAAATGTAAATTTCAAGTTGTTGAAAATAAAGTGTGTATTATTTTGTCCTACACCAATAACATAGGTGCACCTATATAATATGGTTCACTTGGTTTTTCTAACCAGAAGTTGGTTAATTGCTTTGTGACACCAAGCAAAACAGAATGCATATAATTTTGTACAAAGCCAGTCACAATATAAAAAAAAGGGAAATTTATCAAACAGGCAGGTCCTGTTACACCATTAACAATCCTCACTCAGAGAGCACGGTCCACGTCTCTGTAACATTTCTTTATCAGTTCACGCTGGATATCTGACATTGTACAGACCAGGGTGATAACAATAACCACAACCATAGTAAACATTAAACTGAGTAATGTTCTGTATAATTGGCCTGACAACACTATCTACACTACAGCCAAGACCAATTACTTTGCTATTAACTTTGGTTTCAGAGTCCCTTTTCTACAAGACAACATTAGCTGCTAAAACTTTAGCTTCCTTTAGAAACTGGTTTTAAAATGTCCATTCTAGGCTCTTTCTTTCCAAACAAAATCCCTGCCAAAAGAATAGTAAGATGGAAGCTTGTTAATCATAATGTGTAATAAGCACACAGAGAAATCAGAAGGTTTAAAAATAGGACTGCCATCACTATTAAATACATATACAATAAACTGTTAGGTCTGAAAGTCTATTTAAACCTTTGATGCATCCATCATTCTGAATGGCGTACTTATATGACACAAACTCGGTTATTTCAGAATCCTGAAGAAGGGACCAGACTTGTGCAGCATGATAAAAAACAAAAAAAACATTACTTTTCTTCAATTCCTTTACTGTTAAACTTTTTAAAGTTTTTGCAGGTGTATACGGTCTTTTCTAATTTGTTCTGTAGAACTGGCAAAGATTACACAACAAATGATAGGTTGCTAAAGTATAGTTGCTCTAGTCCTACCATTGTCATCTTTAAGTATGTAAAATGATGTTGCAACAACACTACCAATTTCCTTAACAAATTTAAACACCTCAATAAGATCCCCTTTAATTCTTCTTTTTTCAAGAGAAAATCATTTAGAGACCTTAACCTGTCCTTGTATAACATTATTTCCAACCCAGGTATCACACTAGTAGTTGTAGTAGCCTTCCTTTCAACTCTTTCAAACAATACAATGTCCATCATAAGGAAGGAAGCCAGTACTCCAAATATGGCCTAACAAGGAAATTATAACCCCCTTTTCTTTAGACTAGTATTCAATATTTCTATAGTTGCAAACCTACAATCCTATTTGCCTTACCACTAGCAACTGCACACTGCTTGAATGAAATCAACTTCAAGAGACTGATCAATCAGATCACGAAGTTCCTTTTCTTCCATAACATTAACACTTAAATTCAAGTTATTCCCATCAAAATATATTTTATTTACACTGATAATTTAAAATTATGATAATTAATCTACATGCATTAACTTGCATTTATTATAATTCAAAGACATTTGTCATTCATTTGCCCAACTCACCAAATGGTCTAGAAGCTAGAAATGAGGAAAATTTTTTAAAAACGAATGAACAAATACTAATAATAACTGTAAAATAAATGGTATTCAAGTCTTACCAAGCATTATATTTAAATACGTGGGATAAATCTTGTAGTTTTCTCTTTGCTCCTGTGGAACGTTTCATGTATGATAACGTACGGTTTATCATGTACCAATCTATTGCTAGTAGTACTAGCTCGTTTGTAAACTTTTCAAACAGCGTAAAACTAAAAGTGTTACATCTGAATTTAAACATTCCTCTTAACGTTAGAAATTTAAATGGTTTATAATTGTTCTATAGTAAAAAAATTGCCCAATTTGTTGAAAATCTTTACTGATTAGTCAAACTTGCAAAACCAGTGGCGTTAATAACACCACTACTGCACTAACGCTAATAAGGTAAGACCTTACGATTCGCGGTATTCTAATTTTAAATCTCAGTACTATAATGTAATAATTATATCAGAAGAGTTTCTAAACATTTTACAATAGTAATTACAGCTAATAACAAACTGTTTTAGCTATGAGTAAGAGGCAATTGGTTAACTGAAATATACAGTCGAAATAGTTTGGCTTTTGCGATATTGGTTCCACTTCGTCTTCACTTGCCCCACAGTGACACAGTGGTATGTCTGCGGACTTACAATGCTAGAAACCGGGTTTCGATACTCGTGTTGGGCAAAGTACAGAAAGCCCATTGTGTAGCTTTGTGCTTAACGTCAAACAATCGTCTTCACTTTACGAAAAAATCTCAGAAAGACTATTGCTGAAAAGGAAACTGTATTTTGTTGGATTTAATTAGCTCCCTCTTACTCAGCAATAAGTCTTCAGACTTTTAATGCTAAAAATCGTGTTTTGATACCTGTGGTAAGCACTGCACAAATAGTACAGCGTGTAACTTTGCGCTTAACTACAAACAGACAAGCGTGTGCTTAATTAAGTAAATATAATAGTGCATATATATATATATTCACTTGTAATGACACTGTAACGGCAACACAGACAGAGATTCAATGAGTTAGTCTTTCCAATTTAATAGCTACTAGCATCCTTCAGTGTATTGTGATGTGGTAAAGAAAACACACTGACTGATTTCCTCTGCAGCCTATGTATGACTCTACAACATTGAAACAATTTTAGTCTTCACAACTATCCTGTATTTATGATCTATTCTTGAATGTAACAGAAAATCTGACGTTCAATCCTCAGAACTTTCTAGAATTAATTCAAGGTAATCATTTTGGCTGCCAGCTCCATGTAGATAACAGCTAAGTTACAAAATTGAAAAAGAATTGTTACGTCTCCGTTTGTTAATTGATTTTCCGTAACTTCGTTCCGACGAAACTTAAGCGACACAAGTTCTTTCTTAATAAAAACTGGTTTATTCTTTCCGAATACAACTTTACCGATACACGCAACTTCAACAAACGCGCTAAACAAACGCTATAACGACGAACGTGCTCAATAATACTTCTGACTGCAGATCAGTTACTCACTATCTACGCACACATTACATCCCCCTCTTTTATATACCAGCCTACCCTATCTAGCGAATACTAGAGCATTCCTGAAAGAACAAGATAGTTCTAGAAACTAGAGGGCGCCACACCAGTCACGTGACCTCGATTACGCAACAGAATATAGCCTACAACATCACTCCTTCTTGGATTGTAAGGCCCCTTGAACAATCTTAATACAAAAAACTACCCATTCACCAAGTATTTTTCCTTCCAAAGCTCATGGTATACAAATGGGATGTTGTTTTGTAATTTGTTGAAAGTGGGAAAACTCTACCTATGTAGGTGGTCAAGAGAATCCACTGACAGCTCCATTATTGATTATTCTTGGGAAGTAGTCTCAACAGTAGTTTCTTAACAACATACATCCAAAAATGATCATGATGGGTGGCCTCTGGCTTAGATTAACTGTTCTTCATTCTGTAAAGCACATCGTTAATTCTCTTTAGTACAACATATGGCCTCTCCAAACCCCTGCTAATATTTAGGGTTGTCATTTTTTGTGGCATGGATTGTACAAACATACTATGCCACCTTGATGGAATCCAGTCTTATCACATTTAACCTCACAATGACTTTTTGTTTTATCACTAGCTGATTTAATCCTTTCTCAGGTAAAGTCATGAAACGCATTGATAGTGTTCCATAATATTTCTAAATATTTTGTGAAAGACTCTTCTGCATGATTATTCTCTGGACGAGAGAACAGGAGGTCCAATGACATGTTAAGTTCTCTTGTGAACATCAATGGTGATGGTGTGTTGCTACTAGCTTCGTGTACTGCTGTATAATAACTTATCAGTAACAGTGTAATATCTTGATCCCATGTTTTGTTGTGCTCATCCACCCACGTACATAGTTATTTTATTTTACAGTATCTAGTTATAACTCCCCACCATGCCATTAGAATATGGATGAATTGTTGTTGTCCTGGTCTTTTTCATCTTAAGGATCTGACACATTTTCACAAACAAGTCTGATTCGAAGTTCAGTCTCTGGTCTGAATGAAGTTTAAAAGGCCCACCAAATTTTAAGACAAATTCATTTATGAGATTCCTTGTTAGCGTTTCTGATTCGTAGCTTAAACTAAAATATTTTGCCAAAGCATCTTTCAGATGAGTGTTGGACCACATCAATTCCTCACCATCATATTTAGATGGCATATCTTAGACTGCACTTTGTTGTACTTTAGGATGGTAATATTTTATACCCTATATTCCCTTCTTTTCATAGTGTTTACTCTTTGGGATAATGCATTAGCATTTCCATGGTTTGTCCAGGGTGATCTATAATGTTAAAACTACATTTTGGATTGTAAAAATTCACTAGATACTAAATGTTGTATGTTTTCTCTTGAGATTTGACACAAGATTTCCTATATCTTGCTTCCAAGGTGACTACTTCTTGTGTTTTTTGATGTAGAAATACTACCTATACTTCTTTATATTTTACATTGTCCCATCCAGACTTGACTCGAAGTTTATAGTTTGTTGTATTCATGTCCCTAATGACGACATTTTTATTCTTCAGATCTACAAGAGCTCTTCCAATCAATAAACCTACAGGACATGCTGTAGTGATTGGTTCCACTATGGCCCAGTCACTAGATGTAACGTTAATTCTAATAGGCCCTGGTATGAATATTTTACTTTTGGTGGTACAATGACTGTCCTCCTTCTTATTACTTAAAGTTCAGTCAGTGGTGTAGTAATTTTATACAGTATACTGGGATTTCCTAAATTATAAATTGTGAAGCTATTTGAAGGTGCCTAACTTAAGCTAAACGTTCAGGAATTATGAAACTGTCAGATCAAATAGTGTGATAACGTCAACTCCCTTTGATGAAGGTCTGAAACACCTCAAACAATTAATCAGACAACTGTTTATTCAAAAGTGGAAGATGTAAACTACAAGACAATGTGTTTCACATGCAACTTAAAAATGGAAAATTACCAGGAACTGCGGATAAAAGTATTTAGGAAATAAATCTGCTCCAAAAGGGTGTCATAAAAAGAAAATTGTTGTAAGTGTGGAAAACATGAATATTATATCTGAAACTGTGATCAATGAATTGTTGAAAATAAACCAAGGAGATGAGAACACTTCATCAGTCCACTTAAGATATTTGTGCATTACTTTAAGAAACCACTCCATGAGTCAATGGATACATTGCTGGGAAGCCTTGTAACATGTTAAACAGCTACCACTGTTCAGTCTTATTTGATAATGAAAGGTGGGAAATAACTTCCAGGACTGAAATGAGACAATGGAATGAAGTAAATAGCAAGTGGTCATAAAATTCCAGAAGAAGGAAAGTTGGAAGTCACTCTCACTGTGAGAAACTTATCTACATGACATAATGTGTGGATAATGGATAATCAAATAAAATGGCACATTGGGAAACAACATGTACCCACATCCATAAGAACTAAGAGTGTGAAAGTAAAGAATTTACTATATCACTCATATAAAACAAAAGTTCTACACCTAAATGTGAATCAACGATTGGCCATCATTTACTAGTGAACCCGACTTGTGCTGACAACTACACGATAGCATGTTTGAAATTATTTCAAATGGTCTGTCGACCTTTCATCTCTCTATTTTGGAAACTACCTTTATTAAAACACATAAACCTGTCCTTTGCCGCCTTCATAGGCCTGTGACATTTCCCGGTTGGCTAAAGGACACGCCAATCAGTAATAACTTTACCAGCTTATGTTGATCTGACTCATTTTATAAGTTCTGCTAATTCATATAGATCATTTTCGAGACAGTTCTGCTATGATTAGTGTCTGGCAAGAAGCTTCAGCAGATATTTCTTTTGCAACATCTGAACCAACAATTGGTCCAATTATCAATGCTATTTTCAAGTTTTGAAAACTCGACTTTCAAAAGCTACACATCTACATGAGTAGATGTTTCCATTTATGAAAGTTATATTTTAAGATCAGTGCAAGAACTCAGCTAACAGATGTTTCCGTATATCAAAGCTATCTTCACGTTTGTACAATGAAAAACCTTTTCAAAAATATTATTTTTCTTATCTTCTTTTCTACTGCTAGTTTTACTCTAACATCTTGCTGCGTCAGCGAGGTCACGTGACTAGTATCACGCCACTTCTTTCTCGAACCTTCGTGAACTGTCGGGAGATTACTAGATTGGGGTAGTCTGGTATATATAAGATGGTCACAACGTGACGGAACAGTGTAGTAGTGAATAATTGAACTGCAGTCAGAAAGTGTGTAATTGAACTCGAGCACGTGAGACGTTCGTTGAGAATTATAGCGCGACTGTTGAAATTAAGTGTTTCGTAAAGTTGTATTCGGAAAGAATAAACCAGTTTTATTTAAGAAAGGACTTGTGTCGCTAAGGTTTCGTCGTGTTACGTCTCCGTTTGTTAATTAACTTTCCGTAACTTCGTTTCGACGAAACTTTAGCGACACAAGTCCTTACTTAATAAAACTGGTTTATTCTTTCTGAATATAACTTTACGATACACTTGATTCCAACATTCGCGCTAAAACAAACGCTATAACGAACTTCAACAATACTCTCTGACTGCAAATCAATTACTCACTACCTACACACATTGTTGTGCCCGTCACGTTGTGAGCGTCTTATATATATACCAGACTAACATATATCTAGTAAATGCTAGGGTATTCACGAAGGAACAGGATAGTTCTAGAAACGTGGCGTGACACTAGTCACGTGACCTCGCTGACGCAACAGTCGGAACGAAGTTACGGAAAATCAATTAACGAACGGAGACGTAACAATATTAAATGTTAGGCCTATCACTTCTACGGTAGTTAACTTCACACCAACTTCATACTCTTTTTCTATTATCTGTCTGCTGTTCCCGCTCGTCTCACGCTATATTTATATCTTTATTACCTAATCGTCTGTCCGCTTTTTATATTCTCTACGTCAAGATATTGCACATGACATTCGATATTCTCAACATCAATGAATTATTAACAAAACTTCCTACAATCATCTGCTTTTAACTCTTATTATAGCAAAAATATACAATAATAAAACATCTACTCACAAAACTAAATTAATCAGTAATATCTGAACGAAACAATCTTTTTAATCATGACACATTTACTTCTCAGCACAGCCTCAGTCAGTTTTAGCGGAACCCAGTATTATTTCATAACTTGTTTTGCCGAATCTTCCATGGCCTAGCGGATCTTCCAAATTTACTCTTTATAAAAATATGTTTACCAAAAAATTACACAACATTTTAATAATTTACTCTCGTTTTGCGCTTTT